AAAAAATAATAAGAATAATTTTTTAAACAAATTTTTTTTTCTACTTTTGAAAATCTTGAAAGGAAAATTCTAAACTATCACAAATTACACAAAAACTATCACAAATTTTATTATAAAAATTTTACACCTATTTTCAATTAATTAGAAATATTATTTCATCCAATAATTTTAAATTCAATTTTAAATCAAAATACATGATAATAATAATATTCGAAAGTTTTCTTGATCAAATTTTTTAGTAATAAAATTAAAACAAAATTTATGAGCAGAAAATTGTAATCTACTTTCAACACATTATTTTTTATTATTATAAATATGTAAAGAAACATCAAAATAATGGTACAATATTCTATGACATAATAAGTCAATTATTGTTGATGAATATAGATATTCATAAGAATATACAGTTTTGTATTCAATGCAGAAAATGTCTTTCTAATTTGATGAGGCTGAGTTTATGGACATCGTACTATCATTTGTTTCATATTTTGCTATATGTTTTTATGTAATAACTAACCTTCATTATACTAGCTAGAATTTAACAATACTTGAATCAAATTCTAACAAGGAATATTTTTAGAATAATTCAACAAGGTTTTCAAATATTAGTATAATTTCTAATTTTATTTATATTTTAAAAAATAAATTAAAAAATAAAATTTCACTTAAGTTGATTTTTAGTTCAAATAATTGAAAGATATAATACTTTAAAATTTCATTATATAATAGAATGGAGCATAAATAATCTCATAGCAAAAAGAAAAATTTAATATTCTAAAAATTATGTTCTTGCACAAGTTATTAATTTATCACATAATCCTAGAGACTCATTGGTGCAATACAAATATGTTTGACAAAAGAGGTATGTGGTACAATTAAATTCACAATAAATATATTTTTTTTCATAAAAAATGATGTAATTGTATCCTTGAGAGCTACAATCCATTTATTCACCATAGCAGCAAGCTAAATTAAGCTAGCAAGAGTTTATCAAGATGTGAGTTGATTACCAAACTCTGATACCAATCAACCACTTGATCCATGTCTTGCAAAATGTAAGCTTCATTATTTTATACATTACTATATGGAATGTAAAAGAGAGAAATCAAAAGTAAGTATCTCTTAACAGTAGTTTTATTTAAAACCTAAGTCCTAGTTAAAACATTAGAGATTTATAAAATCTATTAAAACAAAATAATTGCTCGTCTAATCTGCTTCTCATATGCAAAATCTGCAATGTAACAAGATGTCTGAAATAAACTTTTAAGACAATCATTTTCATAAATGCATGAGGTTTGATTTTAATATCAATTTTGACTAATTTACTCAGTTTAAATGGCAACATAATACATAATACTTGACAACAATGAGTTTTAATCTACTACCCATCAACTGATGCATAGCTTGATGAAAACTAATTTGACTGTAGATTCACAATGTCATGCGTTAATGTGATTTTAAGGACAAGCACATCTAATCAAACTGCCTACGTTGCTGCTTCCATTGTTGTTGCGTACTTGGCGTTTGTAGTGAACTTAACTACATACTTTTGCAAATATCCCATAATAGTTTTTCTTTCTATTTTTTTCCAAAGTCAGCAGTTAAAAATTGAATCAACGGTTTGATATTATAAAAAGTGCATCAATAACGACATAAAAAAGTTCCAAACCCTTAAAATATATGAGAATTAATTTGTTTTCCACTGTAATTACTCAGTGTTTTTGATGTAAGTTTTAGCTTAGCTATACTTTTCTTGGATAAAAAAGATTATACGTTTTATTCAGAATCATTCAACGCTAATAATCTGCTGGCCAGACATACGTCAACTTGAACAGTATTATGTAATCATTGCATTAGAAAAAAATTGTAAACCAAATAATTTTTTGTTTTGAAAGTTTCCAACCAAAAATTGCATAATAAATTTGATTGATTCACCATTAATTCTAGTCCACTCCAATAATATTTGATAAAACCTTTCATTATTTATATATTATAATGAGTTGGCAAGTTATATCTTCTTGTTAATAATACACCTCATATTCTCTAGAAATGTCTGTCTAATTATAAAAATCTCACCTTCTTGCAAGGTAGAATCTCAACTTGAACTTATAAGTGACAAAGACATCAAAATTTTGGATGTATATAATTAAATCATACAAGAATGAAAGAATCATCAATGAAAGATACATAATATAGCTTTCTAGAATGTGAGGTAGTAGATGATGGATACATCAATATGTATATAATCAAAAAAATTTCCTTGATAATATGAAAATTCAAATCAAAACTAGTTTTGTATACTTCCAATCTTTGGTAAAAATTAGGCGTCATAGAGCACTAAAAATACTTCCATGAAGAACAAAAAAATAACAAGTGCTATGATCGCAATTCTCGATGTATCCACAGCTGAGCTAGTTAGCATCATCATCCAAATTGAGATTGACACGCACATGAGTTTTTCTTTTCTCCTTTTTTTTCGTTTCTTATGATTGGTCCTTCCTACTTTAAACAGCAATTTTTTAACTTGTTTTTGACGAGCAGTTCACACCTATGTCTTCAAAACTCAAGATGCAACTTCCTAGTCATGATCATTCACGCTTGGAGATCAACACTTTGCTTCTTCTTCAACGTTCATGGAATCTCAAGTCGGAATTCATTCATTGGAAATGCCACTAAATCTTAAATCGATTTTAAGTTCTGTCGACACTACTTTGAGGTTTTGATCTAATTATGGCAATTATAAAAGCAAGCTTAACGACCAACGCAACTCAGCAGACTTTTTCAACTCTGGAAACCCATTAATGAAATCTTCTGGGTTGGAATACGGTTCAAATGGCTTGTCTTGTTGTCTAGACTGCATCAAAAAGTATCACAATGACTCGTCTTGCTCGATGAAAACTAAACGTTCTTAAATGCCATCATTCACGTTCATGTTTTATTATATAATAAAGCCCAAAGTCCTTCTGTGTCATTATCTGCTGTTTTTGTATAATTTTTTTGTGTCAAATCTGCCGCTTCTTCACATTGAAATAACCTCCCATCTGGAAGAAGATATTGGGCAAACGTGCTCTATATGATATGGGAGTAAAGAATATAGATGTATAGTTTGTCTCATATTTTCCACATTTATGGAATGTCAGAAGCAGTACTTTTCATGCTCATTGTACATATGAAAAACACACGTATTAACATTGTTAACAACCATGACTTCTCCAAAAATATTTTGAAGAAATCATGAAACATGGCACAGCACGATCCTATTTTCTCTGTTTTATCATTTTTGAACCTATAGAATGTGGCTTCAAACATTGTGTCAAACATCTTTTCGCACGATAAACTTCCTCTAAAAATTATCCGACACATCTTGACATCATCTCTATCGCAAGCATAACACTTAAAATACATTATAATTATATTATGATGAAAGTTGATCTTAAATTCCTTCTCTTTTCAAGGAGAGAACAGCTTTTTACTCCTCGAGCAAATATTGATCTACATCAAAAGAGATTAAAACATGTGCTCGGGTCTGCGCCCCAAGACCTTTGTCGTCCCGGTAGCGCTATCACATGATAACGCGGGTTTCCTTTCACGTAGGGTAACGTACTGACCCTACGTAAAATAATCTCTTTTGTTTATGTGTCGTCAGCATATTTAGCACCGTGATGCTATTGGAGTCTAGCGTTGTCTAGCGTTGTGTTACCCGTTTGGTTCCTTCCCGGTACGACTTGGGGCGGAGTCCCATCGAATCTACGAATCTACGGAGTTTGGTGAGGCACGAGGTAGCAGTCACAAACATTTCATAGACCCACTTTACGTCATCCCTTGAAGTCAGCCAGAGTCAGAATCAGAGTCCTGACTCTGGGCTCGGCAGGAAGCGGCTACCTTTTAGCATTCGAGTCCTTCAGGTTGTGGGGACCCATCCCGGAGGTCCTGATCGAGAAGAGACTCGGATGACCGTGAGTCTCTTCTCAATCCTTTGCTTGCGAGGAGTCTCGACGTGTTTTTTCTCTACCCATCGTACACCCCGTTGACAAGTCTGCAGACCCAGACCCAGAGAAGCGTCACAGAAAGCGCTACTCTGCGTCACTGTCTTCTTGATCCGAGCCACGATTTGGTGACTTATCACGTGAGATCCACTCGAAGTCAGCATCTGTTCGTGGCCTCGTCTTCGTCTTTGCTTCTCACGTTTGCTAGCTCCTGTCTCAGAGTTGCCTTGCATGGTTTACAAGGCAAGCAGATTCAGCACAATCGGTATGTGACGGCGAGAAGTTTGTGGCTGGAGCCTTAAACGTTATACACTTATCGTGAAAGTCGTGATCGCATTCTTTACGTGACTGCTCTGCTTCCTCCGGAAGCATTTCAGGAGCATCCGTAAACTTTACATCTGTGAGGAGACACGGATCGACTTCTTTCCTGAACATGCCTTTGGCTTGTTTGTGGTGCTTGAGCTATGAATATTGTGTGAGGTGTGTGAAGACGTTCGTGATATGTAAATTTAATGTCCAGAACAGTAATCTGACCAGTGCCATTAAATTACAGGCTCGTGACTGTGCTCGCTATTTGGAGAAATTTGTGGAAAAAAATTTAACATAGAGTGCTTGCTAATCTCGTCCTTCAGTAGCTCTGGCCTGAATTTAACTTTACTCACATTCACTAATTTCCATAATATTCAGATAATTACGCTGACAGAGAATGCCGCAATATCGTTTTTGCACGGCCGTCTGTAAACTGGGTCCGATTGCCCGTCCGTGCATAACGAGCGACTAACTTATAAGGAGATTGGAAATAGATGAAAGATGGCATGACCATAGACTCTGTGGAGCCCAAGATCTATTGTACCGTAATTTTGTAAGATGTGAACGATCCAACTTTGATATGCGAGCCAGGTATCGTTTGACGTCGAACATTACACCCGAAAACTGAGCACCTCAAGTACTTTCGGAGATTTTTTGTCAAAAGCATTACAAATCTGGTCTACTCGTCCGTGAAGATTTGGAGCAGAGAGTATGGAGGGAAGCAGCCATGCCTTTACTGAAACCACTGTCAACCAGTGGACCAATCCGAGTCATAACACACATTGTTACTAAGATGAGGATTCTGACTGTCATCTGTGTTATCATTCCAAAGAGGATTAGAAATTGTTTTCAACTCCTCTCTCGATGAGCTCGAATATTGGTCCGTTTTGGTTTCTAGTTCAGCAACTGCATTGGTTGGTAGATCCGCTCTAAAGAAAGGAAAGGAGTGGTTGTTCTTCAGGAGAGAAGTGATTCTTAAGTCCACCGGCTTGGCATAAGCGTCCTTGAGTGGGACAGGGGGTGGGGGTGGCGTGAGCTGAAAAGCTGTCGGATTGTGAGGGTCTTTTGACGTGACGACTCCCGGGCCGGACCCTTTGGCTGGAGAGGCGGGACAGGAGTAAAATGCTGCTCGTTTGTTTGCGGCTTCGTCTTCACGCCGCCTCGACTCTTTGAGTTCGGTACTCACTTGATCAAACATGAATAGAAACTCGCGCATGGTTTTGAACAGCTCTATCAACCGCTCCTCCTTCAAAGTCTCACCGTAGTAGACCGCAAGATGTTTTAACTTCGTCAGGGTCGTGTCATAGACTTTGCGAAGACCATTTACTTCTGATTCCGCCTTTTCGTAGAATGGGGACATGATGTGCAAAAGCTGTTTCTCTTGACCGTCGCCACCAGTTTCTTTTTCCTTGACACCCACTTCACGAGACTGAGCAACTTCGGAATTGATGAGCTCCACTCCATTCTCCAACTCCTTCAGACCGGACTGCAACCGCTCCAGGCTCAAGTTAGCCGCTGTCTTCACTGATTTAAGCTCTTCAGCAAGCTTTCCCACCTGGCAAGAAAGTTCAGGAAGTCAGTACAAAATGACCAAAGCCGTAGCCTACATGCTTGAAGTCTGAAAACAAAAATAACAGGTTCTAGTTTTGAGCTGACTACTGAGGAACAAATAGTAGACAGATGGAACGAGCTATCGTAAACCTTTTCATCAGTCCTCAACAGTTCGGCGACGACGAAGTGCAAAAGAGTAGTTTTCTTGTTGTGACTTTTGACGTCCATTAGCTTCAGCAAGGCACCAAGCTTGAACCCGCTGGCTGCTCCTCGGAAACTGCCGCCATTTAGATGGTTACCCACAGCAAGCACCATCTCCAGAATTTTGAGGAAGCTCTGACTAGCCTTCAGCTGATCGCAAGCTTGTTCCAACAGCTTCAATTCTTGCTGAATCTGTTGACCCATATGCCAACAGTACTCCTTTAAGAAGACTTATCTACCTGATGAAAATTAATTGACTAAAGTAAAATAAAACAGTACCTTTTGTGCTTATTTCCAAAATTCCTGTACCCGGTATATAAAATAATCTTATAAGAATATCAATTTCCAGGGAGGAACAGAGTAATGGTACTGCATTCTGACCTGCAGATAGCTGAGTGCATACTGGCCTTTGAAAATCAAAGCCTTGATGAGCTTCTCGTATCTTGGAATGCTTGAAAGCTCCAAGTAGTACCTACTCAAGAGGCGATAACACTTAGATGTTGATAGATCCACTAATCGTGCTTGTAACATTACGATTCTTGTAAGTTTTCCACAAGTGTTTAAGTGCACACTGAATGTGGACAAATGTTTTGTTTACAGACTTAACTCAGAGATGAACTGCAATAGTGGTAGTCTGTCTAGGATCATGAGCGGTAGGTCGTTGACAATGGACCATTGACCACATTCATGTCAACTCTCAAGTACAAACTTACTTCTCGACCTCCGCAAGGTCTGACAAATCTCCCTGAAAGTTTTTCAGAAGGAGAAGATCGTCTTGATTGGGCAGAGTATTTAGCATGACATTGAGCACCTCGATGTTCAGAACTGTTTCATCACTGTCACGCAGAGCTTGACACAACTCAGGGACTGGTTTTCTCAGACTTCGCAACTGAATTCCAACATTGTGTGCTCTTTTGTGGTCCAAGACCTGCACTCCTTGATCTTTCTTGCGAGAAGACGTTGTCTGTCACCCGATTGCATACAGTAATTGAAAGTGTTTAAACAGATACGTTGACTGGTTGTCAGTTTCCCAGATTCCCATAATCGAACAAGCTCGAGTTTTCAACAATGTGGATATCAAGAAGGTGAGTTTAGGAGCTGCATTCATGACCTTCTGAAGTATAGAGAATCCAACGCTCAGCGTTAGCTACCTTCTTTGGGATGTTGTGTTGACTCGTTTCTTTAACGCCAAACAAGGACTCGAGCTCTTCCAAGTCCATTTGGACTGAGGTCAAAGTTGCAGTCTTCCAAACAGTCTGCTCAGCCATAGCACCACTGATTTTATCCCATACAAGTTGCTTCATCTTCGGTCGTTTGCCATCAGCATCTGAAATTTCTTTCGTCAAATCAGTAGGAGCAGAAGCTCCCGGCTTCTTAAGAGGTGGTAGAGGCGGGGCTGACGGTGGTGGCCTTGGAGGGGGTGGAGGAGGGGCCGAAGGTGGAGCTCGAGGTGGTGGAGGAGGAGGAGGAGGAGGTGGTGGTGGAGGCGGAGGAGGTGGGGGTGGTGGTGGTGGTGGTGGAACACAACATAAAGTTGGCGGTGGTGAACAAAGCTCTTGGCCTGGAGTTGTACCAAGTCGAAAATTAGCGACAGGAACTCCAGTAGCACAGCATGTACAATCTTTTCGTGTTGCTGAACCGTGGCCAAAACTAGCTCGTTCTAGAGAAAAGTCTTGACCCTTCATGACGCTAGTCGGATGCACAAGAAGAAGGGACTGCGTAACATTTTCTGCACCAAGGTCCAACAATCCTTTGGTTGAAATAGCTGTCGTTGGAATTGGTGAAGAACACACTTTGGTGTCAAAGTTGGGAAAATTACTATTGAGCTCAACCACTTCTGCAACTGCACCGGTTGCTGGACTTTCAGAGTAAGGACCATTTTGACAGATCGGTTGGCTGAGAGATGACAAACACCGCGACGTGGATACTGGATTTGTAGTTTCGCTAGCTGATCCTGCTTGCGCTGGTTGACTTCGTGCCACGTTTAAACTCGAAAGACTGGACATCCGTTCAAAATCCGTTTCAAATAGAGGGTTCACGGAAGAATAACAGGGGCCCGGAAATTTCTTATCTTCATTATCACTTAGTTGACCGGTTCGTCCCGATGCCAAGCGAACTGCAACTCTGGGAGGTAGATGAAGACTTCGAGCTCCAGCAAGTTCATCTGAAGCAAGGAGCAACTGCAGACCCTGGTTGCTATCCGAAATGTATGCTCCTCGGATGCCGTTTCTCTGCAGGGATCTTGCATTCAAATCCCAGAATTTTGTTGAACTCTGTCTTGGAACACCGGGTTCCGCAGAGCACTGTTCCGATGAGTTTACTCCCTCGTTCCTTTCCACAAAACAAGATGGAGATTTGCTGCCCACATCTGACAGGGACAGCTGTTTTTGCTCACCTTTCTTGCTCAAATCGAGCTGTTCACTGACTAACCCGGCAACCGTGCTTTTCCCGAAGTCCGCTGAAAGGAGTTGATTCACTGCTGCTTTCAGAGCAGACTCTTCCACGTCTTTGCATTGAGTCACATTAAGTACAAGCTTTTGCAACCTGTCGAGGCAATCACTTGACAGACCAAGAGAAGTAGCTAGCTCGCAACAGCGAGCCTTCGGGTTTTTTGCCTTCGAGTGGATGTCAAAGACATCTTTCGGGTGGGTAACACCAGATGGCTCGAACGAAAAAGGCACAGGGCCATTTTCCGACGGCACCTCTGCAGAACCACATCTATCGGATGGCACTTCCGGAGAACCACTTACACCAAACTGGTGTCGACGAAGTTCCGAGTCCCGAGGGTCCTTCTGAGAACCAAAACTGCGTTTCCAGAGAGAAGAATCTTCTGATCTAGTACTGCCTCCGCTGGTTTCTGAGCTTCTATTCGCACCTGGATTCATATTTTCACTTTCCTCCTTCATTGCATGCTCACGTCTTTGATCAATGCCAACTTGAGAACTACTTTCGCTTCTATGAGAATTCAAAGAACCATCAGTGGGGTGAAGGTTGACTGGGTGGTAGTATGACCGACCGTTCACACCCTCATCATCAAACGGAGGATTTGCAGTTACTCCGCACTCGAAGAGATGGCCTTCCCTCGGTTTACCAGCAATGATACCACGGCTGATATCCGGAAGAGCGGAAGAGGGAAGTTGCTCTGACTGGCAAAGTTGCGAGCTCTTGTCACCACAAGTGGCATTTTGATAAACAGTTTCTCCTCTCGTGGTCGGTTTACCTGTGTCTCCACAAGAGGAAACTCTCTCCGGTTTCGAAGGCAAGAGGGAAAAATTGCCATCACGAGGAATAGAGTTTGATATTTTGCAGTTAAGCCCCTTCGAGGATGAACTTCCAGTGTGGCAGGCGTTATACCTGCCATCGTTTCTTCCTTTTCTCAAAGTGCCACTCTTTTGCTCACCGAATCTACTGCTGGAAATTGAGCTAAAACATGACAGAGGAAAGCCACACTGATTGAAGTACACTGCTTCTGTTTGTGAGCTCTCGTTGTTATCTGTTGAGGACCAGTGAGCAGTTGCATCTACCTTGTCAAAATGACCAGCTTTTGAAACGGCTTCCTCTTCTTCACCAAGGATATCGCCAGCCGCACTCAATCTAGCAACCATGGAACAATCCTGCATTGCTAAACATGCACCTGGAACCGCAAATCGTGATATTTCGGGAGGGTTTGATCTTCCTTGAGGATATTGTTTGTTACCCAATAGCACTTCCTTCCGCTCACGTTGAGATATGATCGCATAGTCAGAATCTGGAAGCGGAGGCTTCCGCTTTGTACGTCTCCTTGAGAGGGCATATTTTAGAATATTCTTGCAAAACTTGAAGTCACTTTCTTCAAACCAGTGCTTCCAATAACTTGGTCCATAGCAGCTAATTTCCTGCTCTTTCTTCTCCAATTCGTCCTCGTTGTTCTCAATCTTTTCCATCATAGTCACTGAACTGTGGGGTGGACTCTCTTTGCAGCACACCTCCGTGCTTTCTGAATTGGTCACATTTCGCGTGGCAGAATCTAAATTTGACCAAGCTCTGGGCCTGATATTTGAGTTTCGGCTTCCAAACGGCTCGTTGCAAAATCTGTCTGCCGAAGATTACTATTGTCAGCAACATCACAGAAGAGAACTACAGTTCCTTCGCCTCGACGAACGAATTCAACAGACACCATGCATCAAAAGTCTGCATTCAGGCACATTATTCAAGTAGCGAGCTTCTCCGAAATTTAACATAAGGAGCGGATTCTGGTGAAAGAAGTTGATACCATCTATCTTAGCCGTATGGTTCACCTCTTCTGCAGATCTTTGAGTTCCAATGACAACATGCAAATTCTTACCATGCAAGGATTTGTTTCAAAGCTGGATAACTAACCCCTTGTTGTCGTTCATACACGAATCTTGGGACGCGGAAGACTGTAAGCTTCCTTGCAGTTCCGATGTCAGCAGTTTCCACCAGTCATTTGACCCGAGCAGATCATTCGCATGCGAACATTCAGACTCGAAACTTTTAAGCGGACCTGTCTGTCACAGCACTGTAGATGATGAGAGGATCAATGTAAGAACAGAAAATCTCAAGTTCGTACTTAAAATTTGTCTCAAAAGCATCTGCAGTTCATAGTAACACCCAGAAAAGATACGATGACGAAAGGGCCTCCCAGACACTTACCTTCATGCAACTAAAAATGTCCGAATATTACAGTACCCTTACTCCTTTGTGCTCATCCATGTACGGCTTGATGGGGTCTCCCCACCCTTTGTGCTATACGTATCTGACATCTGTACTAATCAAATTGCAGTGTGTAAACCTCAAGATGGCAGTTCGGTTGGAAGCTACTGACTTATACTTGCCAGCATCCTGGAAGTTGTTGACAGTTTGCTCACCAGATGTGGGAATAGTAGGATCCGTGTTGACCTTCGCAGGAGAGTTATTAAAAGAGACCCGACCGTATTGAAACAGATAGTTCCACTCCTCGATGAGAACAACAGTGATGAGGGTTCCGGCATCTGCTGCTGTCAACTGCCTGTCAGGAAGCAGTCAATCCATCTTCATTTTTCCCACCAGTAGGGGAGCTAATGAGGAAGATAACAGAACGTTTTGCAACAGGCACGCGACCACACAAAGAGACAGCGAAGGGCTGGTGAGGGGCACCTATGCACAAACAGTACGCCGTCTCTGTGTCTCATCAGGAGGCGCCCAAAAGTCACAATGACTTGCTCGGAAACCTTGGGCGTATTTCTGAAAGTCGTACACCGCAACAGCAACGATAGATTCTTCAGAACAGAATAATTCGTTGGTGGAAGATTTCCCAGCAGAAGGCGAAACACGTAGATCTGCGAGTATCTGTTGGATATGGCTGAACACCATAAGCACAGCAGTCAGAAGAATGAGACACTCTCCGAACGGACTGACGACGACAGCCAGATATGACCGCAACAAATGAGATGCATCTGATGATCATGAGATTGGAAGTTTACAACAAGGGCCCAGACGGGCCATGGGACGGGTCTAAGAGGTCTTGTTCCTCGAGGATCTAGAATGCAGTGTTGGCCAACCTGCAGCTGCAACGAAGCGGTTGTGTAGTTCATTTGTCAAGAGGGACCCGTCGAGCCTCTTCAGCTCTAAAAGTATGGCTGCCGCCAGATGATGGAGCTCCATCTCCTTCATGTTGTGATCAGGTTCAACTGCAAGAGCGCAAAAGTTCCAGCGTCATTCAACTCTCAAAACATCTGACGTTTGGGAACCTCTGCTGCGGGCTCTCGAGCAAATTCCAAATGCTATCGTCCTCAAGCAGGACAGCCCGAATTGTTGCAATTTTGACGAGTGATGGTACAAAATGAAGATCTGATCTGCTGTTAAAAATCACAAGTGCCAAAAAGATTTACTTTGATTCGGGAACAGTTGACACATGCCTGGATCCTTCGCAAAAACGCTCGCCCAAGCCTTTGAAGCCGCCTCTTCCGATACCGGAACCGTGAAGAGACCCTCTACGGCCGACGCTGTCAGAAACACGAACGCATAGGTGAGTGCGCAAGATTTGAAGTCTCGGACCGTGGCACCGATCCAAATATTGACCTCGACACATTGCAAGTTGGATATATTCAGGGAACAAATCCAAGTTCCACCAATGGCTTCTTTGAAACCAGAATTCCTCACCATTTTGAAGCAGTATAGCGATCGCTCTCTGTAAGGTTGAAAAAGGAGTCGTTTCTGGACTTTCAGGCAGTTTCGTCTCCATCCTCGACCGTTTCAAGAGACACCGACGTATCTGCTGCAGGATTACCAACGCCAGGGCTGGAACGAAATGCAAAGACCTAATGATTTGGTTCCCGCTTTGGCGTGTAATGTTGGGACGACAGGCTTTTAGGGTGAAGAAAGGCACCTAAGTGCCATCTACGGGCAAGGCGGAAACTTTGAGTTTCACCTGCACGATTTGGAAGCCTTAACGGCAGAACGATCCGATCCGACCGGAAATATACAGTCCAAGAATCATTGTGGATCATAACCTTCAGATTTCGAGTTTCAGGATTAACTTTTTGCCAAAATGCGGAGACAGTAGAAAGTGTTTAATTTATATCCCGAGTCTCCGAAAACTTGAGTGTGTTCTCGTCCGCGTGCTGTGAAGATTTAGGGCTGGGCTCAACTTGATCACGTGGGCGTGGAGAGTTGTCTCAGGACATTTGCCACCGGTGTATGCAACCGTGATCCTCATAATGCTTGAAACTCGCGAAAGATTGAGAGTCTCATGTTCCCTTTTGCTCACCCATCTCCAGGCGTCACACTAATGCTCGTCTGCAGGTCGAGTGGAAACCCTGTCCGGGATGGCAGGGCAGAGCATAATCAAAGTGCCTTCGAGGAAACAATGCTGGCTGAAGACGAAGTTGAGGCATGTCGTACGGAGTTTTCAGTAGCTCAAACGCGTCCTTGTCTGTCGTGTTCACATTGGAGTTGTTGTGAGTACGAGATACTTCGTTGGCATGTAACACGACTCTATGTAGGGCCTCGCTGCCTCTGGGAGCACCCGAAGACTCCTGAACAAAGATTTCAGAGTCAAGGCACCGAGGCTCGCTGCAATTAATATCGCAATATGTTCGGGAATCTGAGCAATGGTGCCGAATGCAATCAGTTTAGGCCACCCACAAAAGATGCTATGGAAATGTTTCGGACATGGGGCCCTCTGTACTGAGTTATGATACGAAGAGAGCTGACAGCTGAAGCGACACTACGGCGCTTCCAGCTGAACTGTACGAGTCGAGAGAGAGAGAGAGTGATGGTGTGCGGGACGAGCGAACACGGCACAGCTTTCGCTGCGGTGGAGGAGACTGTAGGCGAGAGCATATGTTTGCCATTCTCTCGAGAGGCCAGTAGAGTAGCCAGGAATCAGACCTGGCTTCACTGTTGCGCAACTACCCATGAACCTGCGAGTCTGCTGGTACGGTGTGGAGACGAGGCGACTCCTCCATGTCTGTAGTAGTCTCCTGTGCAATCCCCTGGGGCCTGGGGAGTCGGGACGGCTGCCAGACTCGTATCTGCGTTCGGTGGCTAACCAAGTCACCGACGCAGACTAGCAAAAGGGCATCTGTGCCTCCTCCAAAAGCCTTGCAACCAGGCACCAGGCAGGCAGGCAGGCAGGCAGGCGAGTGACATAAAGCTCTGGGCTTCTGAACCGCGAAGAGCAGCAATGAACGGTTTGGAATGTTTGAGAACCCATCATGCGATTCGTGTCTCTGTCTGTCCATGCAACTGTCAGAAGACATACTTTTCATCTTTTGCTCAGTCGCACTGACACAATTTCTCCACCCATTCAAAGCCGCTCTGCCTTGCCGCGGCGTATCCACCAACGTGACCCGGCACCTTTCGAGACATGGAGCCGTCCTCGTGCATTTACTCCGTCTTCCCTCCGCCCTTGTCTTCATACATGGCTGTTGGTTTTAGCAAGCTCCTCCTCCTCGTCCTCCTTCCCATTTCCCACTTCCTCACCAACCTTAGTGACTGTATCATGCATGACTTGAACTCCAAAATCTCCACATCTCTTCTCGTTCTCGAGCAAGCTCATCTTACATTCCCCGACAATTCTCCCCGACTCAGGTACAAACAGACAGCCCTGAGAACTGTCCCACCTTTTAAGACATGCGCCACACGATACTTTGGATACAGTTTGGGCTCATGGATGCACTTGTGCATGCGCAAAAGAGCTGCCGGTAGAGTCTGGATCTCGGACGGACCCTGGCTACGGTGTGTTCATGGGTTGTTTATGATCGCAATGCATGATAGACCTCTCATGTTTGATTCTCCTTTTCGAAAGGCCTGAACGGATGAACTTCGAGTTTTCTCATGGCTTATAAAACACACAGCCTCTCTTCTCTCATCACGAAACTGATATTTCGAAAGCTTGAACCGCCATGTTGAAACATGGCCAAAGTATGAGTTTTGATTCCCGAGAAGCTGTCAATCACTCACAGGCAGTGCTCTTCCCGAAGCAAATGTATTCAATAGTCATCGTCTCTGTCACGAGGATTGCTATCCGAAGCAAGCAAAAACAAAAGCAAAGAGTCGTTCTGCTATGATAATAGAATTAATTGAACCAATGTTGCACCGCATTCCACCGTCAACTCCAGCCCCAGACGTCGGCGGTGATATTGTCATGTGCTCTACAAAACTTGGCAAATCGGAGTATTCTGATGTACTTGCATGCACCTCTTTATTCACCCTGAGAGACTTGTTGAACATGACAGGCTCACATCGTACAGTGAGAGGAGGAAGCCTGAACTCGGAAAGCGTTTATTTTGTGAGTGCGAATTTCGAGTAGAGTCAAAGCCACAGGTATCTTTTGGTGCAGCTCAAAGATTGCATTTATGTTGTGTGCAGAGAAGGGCCCTCACGAACTCTACACGAGCACAGCTATGTACTGTATGCGCACCCGAGATTGGAAGTTGAGGACGTTGGGGACGTTGCAGGGCCAAGCTCATCATTAAGGAAATAGGCCTCTGAGCAGTCTGAGCAGTCTGAGAACCCTTCCCTAAGAAGCGTTGCTCTGTCACAGACATCTACAGTACAATCGGCGTGTGTTTGACCAGATTTCAGTTTGAGATCCTCGACTCGATCGCGGATCACGGCACGGTAAGAAAAACCTTCGAGCAGCGAGGTTTTGTAGTAGACTTATCGGTATCAGTATCAGATAATATGTAGCCGTCGACTTTTTTAGGCATAGGTGTCCACCACCAGAGAGACATGGTGGAGGTAGGGACCTGGTCCATGCTGATTCCGTCACTGTCAACTGTTTAATTATCATTTTGGCATGCAGATCTTCGTTCCAGACAAATTGCTTTATTTCTCAAGCCGCCTGCCTGCGAGAGCAATGCTCGAACACGATGCATTGACACTGATCATTTTTTTTATGCTTCTCGTGAAAAGCAATACAGATGGAAGCGAAAGAAGCCCGAGGCGAGTGATTACATGTAATCCTTGTCCGCACGCGATCATAACCGGTCATCCATGTTCGAACTCCAAGACCTGGATTCCTCTCCATCTTGAGCTACGAAAGCTTGGTCAATCGAGTTTAGTGGAGCTTGGATTGCAGAAGTTCTTCGGAGGAAAACTCAAGATACACCGCTGTGAAAACAGACCTCGGTTCTTTCCTTCCCCCACAAGTATTGTGTGGGAAATCAAATCAGTAAACGACACAAACACTTCCCCACGGATCATCATCGGAGCTCCAGCTCTCCAACTAGTTCTGCGTTGGACAGCATTCTGCATGGGATCGAGATACTATCCGAAAGAGCATCTAAAGCAAGAATGATGATGACACCTTCGGCTTTGGAAGAGCAGCCAAAAGAATCAGAACATTGCTGATGTTATTGCACGTTCAATCACATTCAGCACAAACCGACAGTCAGGACATGGGGCGAGAAGCATTCGACCATCAATAATCCATCAAGAGAAGTGTCCATAATCGAAAGCACCTATTCAATAATGAGTCCACTTTTCTATATTCCGTGCGTGCTTCTTTTGGAGAGAAAAGCATATTTCACAAAAACAACAACAAGCACTGCATACTTTCGGTTGCGAATGATTAGCTGTCCAGTGGAGGAAGAGTACATGTTCCGCAAAACTCTATGAGCATGTTCATAGTGTCAACGACTCGAGTCAAAAGTACAATTGTGGGCCTTTCGAGCTGCTCAATTGTTTAGGCCCTCCAGTACATAACCAAGGACCTAACCGTGCCCACTACCAGGGCCAGTTGCGCGGAGCAACACGTCGTTTCTGGGTAACGGGCGGACGGCCTCCATACCTGTTTGTAACGCTGTTTGTTGGACACAACATCGTTGATGAGATTTATCCGGACTCACAGAGTGGCCCTATAACTGGCACTTCTTCATTCACGTTTTGTATTGGTCTCCACTACTCAACAATAGTGAATGTATTATCACTTTGTAAATCCTTACGTAAGGTGTTCCAACATAGACACCTTCAAATTCCACGTATTAACGGAGTTGTGAGCATGAAGCTCATTCCCTTTGTATTTTCCCGGCTTATTTATATTAGTTCACATATAACCGTAGAGGCTAATCTCCTGTTAGATGTCACCTCAGAATTCCTATATCGTAGAGATTAAATGAATTTGTGTGGTATGGGTAAAGTGTAAAAAAAAATTCGCGAGAATGTTATTCTGCCCACAAAGACATGGGTAACCTCTCTTCTAAACTTCTTTGGGATACCATTAAAGGTTTATGGTAGATTGTAAAGTCTATGACGGTTGCTACATACTGAACATCTATAATTTCTATAAAAACTTTTCCAAAATTGCAGAAATCATGAGCAAAATTTCTTTTCAAATTTTTGGATAAATATTTCCATTAGCGCATTTTGTTGAAAAAAAATGTCGTATCAAAAGAACGTAAGTCTTCGTACAAATAATTCTTGAACGTTCATTGTTTTGGGTTAGTTTTCAAATTATAATTCCAATAACTAAAGATTGCTTATTAGTTTACAAAGTTTGTAGTTTGTATCTATTTTTTAAAACAAGTTTGCGTAAGGTATGACTCGTTCAGCTGTGAGCGAAGCAGTCAGCCATTGAAGTATCAAAGTACTAGTTTTCAAATTAAAAAAATACATTCTTTGATTAAATCCTATTACATGCTTGCATTTTTAAACATAACGTGTATCCATACAGTACAACTATAACACTCTCTCTCTCTCTGTCTCTCTCTCATAAAAAATATAAGAAGCATATGTTCA